CAATAAATAGTGCATATGGCATGAAATAATAATGCTCAGTGGGTGGCTTTATTATTAGTCACTGTAATGGGAGTTTGGAAATGGTGAATTTTCTGCTGTTTTTTATTGAACTAAGTGTCCTGAGATGCTTATAACATTTATTTATCTATTTCTTTTTACTTTGTCTTTAAATATTTTGTTAGTCCTGTTTATTATTTGTGAAGTTGTGCATAGATTTTTTACAATTCTTACCTATTTATCTATCTAACCCCCAAAATATGATATTTACACTTATAGCTCATTGGTGTTTTGCATGAAAAGGTGTACTTCATTTTTAGAAAGATAATGATGGCAATATTTTTGATGTGATGTTCGGTATTGGATATGTAAAAATATGAAAAATGCCAGGTATGTATGAAAATGCCCCCACAAAATTATTTGATGATGTTTTGGTGAAGTTATTTTGATCGACAATCGCCGATTCATAAGTGCATGTGGAGGATAAGCTAACAAGCTTTGCAAATCCACAAATTTCTCCTCAGAATCAACTTCGCCTTTTTACAACATGCAATCATGATTTCTTATATCAATTTGATCAAATTGATGTCCTTTGTTATTATATAGAGATGTATAAATTAGAATGGGGATTGGAGATAGATTTTGACAATTCTAATTTTTGGAAATCATAGCGTTTAGAGATGAGTGATTCTTGAATGAAGCCTCAATGGGGAATATTGGGGGCAAAAGAGAAGGAATTTAAGTAGTATTGGCTTCCTTTTGAAAAAGACCTGGCTTAATCCCTACTCCAAGGAATTCATCATAATGGGGACGACGAAGAAAGATGAAGTGAGAAGCCATTTTAACAATAAAATTAGATTATACATGATTAAGCCTAAAGTTTAAGAGATAAGTCCTGATAATTGACACAACCCTAAAAGGCAACTTTATGTTGATGAAATACACAACAATGTTGCATAAGTTTATTACTAGTTGTAAAAACATCACTCCAAAATAGGGGCATAACTCACCAAGTCAATAGTTTTATAACAACAACAAACACAAGCCTTTATTGGACTAAGTGAGTTGGTTACGTGAATATTTTTTTTCTCCCCCTGGCCTATTGAGAAAGATGAAAGAAAATTGAGTAGGATGAATTCATGCAGCTCGATGTCGAAAATAAGCAGGTGAAGTGATAAGGTTGAAAGATCAAATTGATTAGGGATGAATTACTCAAAATTATGAAAATGGTCGTTAATGATGAAAATAAATCTCTTTTACCGATTTATGTGAAAATATAGTCTTGAAAATGTAGAAAATTTGATGATAATGGATCCTAAAAAGATGGATAATGAGATAGAATAAGTTATATATCCTTCTTATAAGATATTGTTCGGCTAAGAGGATCAATC